TCACACACACACACACACTCTCTCTCTCTCACCCACACACACCCGCAAACACACACACACACACACACACACACACACACACACACACATACACACACACACACACGCACACATCCATGTCCCCAGCACCACCCTCTGCCCACCAGTCGGCGTCTGAAAAGTCCACCCAGGCGGCGCGCAGCCTGCGGCCGTCCATGGCGCCCAGCGTGGCCAGCACCCCCGCCAGCTGGGCGTACTTGGCCATGGAGTCACCCAGGGCGCTGACGTCACCGCCGCCGCCCTCCAGGGCGCCGCCGGCAGTCAGGTACGAGTCCAGCCAGGACTGAGGGGGGGGCACGCGCGCGCGTGTGTGTGTGTGTGTGTGCGTGTGTGTGTGTGTGGGGGGGGGGGTGGTTTGTGGGGGCAGGGAGTAAGGGTTGCGGGTGCCAAGATGGATGGGGGATTGGGCAGGAGGGCCACAGCGTTGGGGTTTACGGCTGTTGGTGGGCGCCTGGCCCATGATTTGGTCCAGCGAAGAGCACGGGCGGGGCGCGCAGGGAGGGCGTGGGGCTGCAAGGGTACGAGAGCACAGCAGTGCACGCGGTGACCAGCGGAAGCGGAAATGGCTTTGAAATTAAATCAGAATTAATGTTCTCACCGCAAGGAAGTCGCCGTCCAGTGAGGACAGGGTGAAGAGCACGTTGGCGCACGCGGCGCTGTCCGCAGCCAGGCCGCCCTCAAACGCGGCCGCCATGAACTCCGACAGCCAGGCCCGCCCCGGGTGCGCCCCCATGGCGGAGAGCGACCAGAGCAGGCCGTTGCGGGCGCGCGGCGTTAGGCGGCGGAGGGAGGGCTGCAGCTGGGCCAGCGCGGCGCCGAGCCACTCGGGTGGCGGGGGGCGGCGCAGGAGCGCCAGAGACCTGGGGGTGCCCGTTGCGGCGGGGTTTGGGCTGGTTTCAGGGGTGGACCATGAGAGATGCGGAGAAGTCTGCACTCCGCACCAAGTCAAATTGGGACGATGCGGCACGCCCTGCACGCGGCACCACCAACGCCCTGCACAGCCGCGCCACCAGCCCACACAGCAGCACCCAGCAGCTGCCCCGGCTCGCGGCGTGCGCGTCAGCGGGGCGTGTGCGTCTGCTACCTCTCCCCCCCCTCATCCCCCCCCTCATCCCGGGGGCAGCGCACCACAGCACGTTGGTGAGCTGGTGGCCGCTGAACCCGGGCAGCGCCGCGCGCGCCGCCGACAGGAATGCGGCCATCCAGCCGTCCCCCGGCCGGTGGTCCAGCCGCGCGAGCGCCCAGATCGTGTTGGACAGCTCCAAGGGGCGGAAGCTTCCCAGGGCGCCCTCGCTGCGCGCCAGCATCCCAGACAGCCAGCCGCCGTCGAGCCGGCCGCCGGCGCCGAGCTTGGCCAGAGACGCGAGCGTGCAGGAGAACGCCTGCGGAGTGATGGCCACCGCGGGGGCCGCGTCGGCGGCGCCGCCGCCGTCTGCAAGCTGCTCCCCGCTGCTGCCCCCGCCGCCGCCGCCGGCCGCCGCGGAGAGGAAGGCGGAGAGCCATTCGTCCGGGGGCGGCGCCCCCAGCGCGGCCAGGCCGTAGATGCTGTTGCTGAGCGCCTGCGGCCCGTAGCCCGCCAGCTGCGGAGCGCTCGCCTCGAACACCGCTGCCATCCACTCCTTGCGTGGGGCCGCGCCCAGCGTGCCGGCCGCCCACAGCATCGTGCTCGCGTCCTGCGGGCTGGCGGCCCCCAGCCCGAGCCGCAGCACCTCCGACTGCCACGTGGTGTAAAACGCGTCGCCGGGCGGCCGCCGCATGACCGCGAGCGAGTAGAGCAGCAGCGCGCAGTCGGTGAGGCAGCAGCGGCCGCCCTCGAGCGCCGCCGCCGCCGCCGAAAGATACGCGTCCGCCCAGGGCGCATCGGGCCGGAAGCCCGTGCGCGCCAGGCCCCAGAGCGCCGTCGCCAGCTGGCGCCCGCTCATCGCGGGCGCCAGCGCGAGCGCGCGCGTGCCGAGCGCCGACAGCAGCGGCCGGCGCCGCGGGGGCGAGGGGCGGGCGCGGGGCCGCCACTGCTGCTGCTGCTGCTGCTGCTGCTGCTGCTGCTGCTGCTGCTGTGGCGCGGCCCCAACGCTGACGGTGGGCGCCGAGCGCGACGCGTCGTCGACGGCGGGCGCCGAGGCCAGTGCCGCGTCGAGCTGCGAGCCGAGCCCCGACTGCGACAGTTTGGCCAGGCCCCAGAGTGAGGCGGCCAGGCTGGCCGGAGTCGTGTGCCTCAGCCGCTGCGCCAGCAGCCCGCACAGCAGTCGCAGCACCCCCGCGCCGCCGTCGCCTTCCGGGCCACCTCCCGCTTCCCGCCGCAGCCGCTCGCCCTCCTCCTCCCGCTGCTGCGGCTGCTGCTGCTGCTGCTGCTGCTGCTGCTGCTGCTGCATCAGCGGCGCGGCCGCCGCGCTGAGCTGCGCTGCGCGCGAGAGGAGCGCGGCAACGTGGATGTGGTCTAGGCGGGATGCGTTTGCGGCCGCAAGCTCCTGCAACTGCTGCAGCGTGACTGCGCCTGATATAGCGTTGGTGAGAAGCTTCGCCACATCGACGCGCGCCCGCCGCGGGCGGCCGGGCGGCTCGTCGTGCGCGCCGCGCGCCGCGGGCGTGCGCCGCGGCTGCTGCGTGGGCGGAGGGGCGACGACGGCGGTCGACGCGGCCCCGGCCTGCTGCCGCTGCTGCTGCTGCTGCTGCTCGCGCCGCGCACGGCTGGAGACCCAGGTGCCGCTGCCCTCCTCGCGCGGGACGGCTGCGAGCGTCCAGTGGGGGCGATTGCGCCTTGCGCCTCGCCAGGCTGCCGGCGGCGCAGGAGGGCGAGCGCCTGCGCTGCTGCCCGTCACAGGGCACATGGAGCGCAGGGGCGCACCCATTACGCTATAATACCGTACACAGCTAAATTTTATTCACTCGCTGTGCATGGTCACGCCGGCCATCTACAAGGTCGTGAGTGATTGCTCGCTAGTTTTCTTTGCAGGGGAATGCTATGTACGGTACAACTGTGGTTGGCAATTTCTTCATCAAAGTCTATTTGACAACAAATCCGAATGCTCAACAACAGCGGTGACAAGTGACTCGGATGGAGGCCGCCGGCACGGCAGCGCAGCAGCAGCAAGACCGAAAGGCCAGCCCTTTGCCCCAGGCCACGCCAGGCGGCTTCGGCTCCTTTCACTCTGGAGATGTGGAGGTGCTGATCCGTCAGCCGCACGGTGCATACACGCCGCCGCCCCCGCCGTTTGAATCGCCGCCGCAGCTCGCGCCGGACCTTGCCACCCGCCCCTTTGGCGCGGCCTTCCGCGACCAGTTCCTGATCGACTTTGATTCTTGGACGTTTGTGAATCACGGCGCGTTCGGCGGCGTCCTGGCAGCAGTCGCTGACGACGCGGAGCGGTGGCGGCGCCACTGCGAGCGGCAGCCGCTGCGGCACCTGGACAGGCGAGTGCCGTGCGGCGCACGCGCAAGGGCGCGGCGCGCTTGCCCAGCGCTCATCGCCGTACAGCAATAACGGCACGAAGTCGACGCCAGACCTCCGAGGACGTCAACCCTCCCATCCTCAGGCGCATGCGTGCCGCGCGCCGGCCGCCCGGGCTGGCAGGTGCTACTGTTGCAGGCTGCCGTGTACGCACCTGCACTCGCAGTGTGGCGCTGTTCTTTCCACGCCGTCCCGTTGACCCTTGCGCTCCAATCCTTTCCAGGGAGCTGTTCCCCCAGCTGGTGCGCGTGATACGCGACGTCGCGGCCTTCTGCGGCGCTGAACCCCAGGTCAGGGTCAGAGGGGGGGGGGCGGCGCCACAATAGCACGGCGTTGCACCAGCCACCCTGCCGCCACGCACACACAGCCCCCACCAGCCGCAAGCCGACCGCCGCACGCCCACGACCCAGACCCTGCATTCATTGCAACGTTAAAGGACGCGGCTGCATTGACAAAACCCAATGTGACCCGCCCGACCATCACAACGCCCGCTGCGTGTCGCCTTCGTATCGCGCCCGCTCGCGGGCAACAAAACATCCTCAATCCCCCGGCTGGTACCTGCCATCAGCTCAATGCGCTCACCCCCCGTAAGAACCGCGAAGTTTCAACCTCACATTCAAACCCGGATCCACCCCACGTCCCAAACCCTGTCCTCCTGGTAGGACCTGGTGCTGCTGCCCAACGCCACGACAGCGCTCAATGTGGTCGTCACCAGCGTGGTGGGCGGCCTGGGGCCGGGAGACACCGTCTACAGCCTCGACATAGGGTGGGCGCGCTCGCGCAGAGATGTGCATGCTTGTGTGTGTGTGTGTGTGTGTGTGCATGCTTGTGTGTGTGTGTGCGCGCGCGTGTGTGTGTGTGTGTGTTTGTCGTCGGCCCACCAAATGCCGTCCACTTCATCAGGACAGGCTGCCACGAGCCCACACCCCCTAAGATCCGCCCCCTCCCCCCTCAACCCCCTCCTACCCGGCCCGGCAGCTACGGCTCTGTCAAGAAGATGCTGGCGGTGGCCTGCGCGCGCAGTGGGGCCGCGCACGTCAGCGGGGCCGTCCCCCTGCCAGTCAGGTCTGCGCGGAGTTTGAGGGCACCTGGTTGCGTGCAGGGGCGCAGCCCCCTCGCGCCCCCCTTTCCCTGCGCTTCACACCTCAGAAGCTACGCCGAGCGTCCCCTCCCTGTACCCATGTCTGTGTGCTGCCCCCCACATGCAACCTGCGGCTGCTCCTGCCAACCTCGCGCCCCCTGTGCCCCGTGAACACGACCCGACCCCTCACCAGCGGCCCCGACGCCATTGTTGCGGCGGTGGAGGCCACCCTGCCGCGCGGCGCGGCCCTGGCAGTGTTTGACTTGGTCACCTCCAACAGCGCCCTGGCGCTGCCTCTGGACAGGATCATCGCTGTCTGCAGAGACAGGCGCGCACACGCAACTGCTGCGGGGGCGGCAGGTCGAGATTGAACATGCGTACATGGTGGTTGATTCGGCAAGCAGCTGCTGTGCAGCTGGCAGGCCGGGCGGTCAGGCACGCTCGCCTGTCCTTGCCGATGCAGAGGCCTCGCCGCAAGGGGCCGTGACCTAGACAGCACGATGCCAAGCCATTGCTCGAGCACCGCATCAGCTGCCCCTGGATAACATGCGAAAGCCTGAATTACGAGAGGACCCCGTCAGCTGCCATGTTCGGCAGAGCGCCGCAAGGCGTTGCAACCCGACACCCCTCGTGCCCAACTGCTGCAGGGGCGTGCCTGTGCTGATCGACGGCGCCCACGCGCTGGCCCAGCTGCCGCTCGACCTGGGGGCCCTGGGGGCGGACTACCTCGTGTCAAACTGCCACAAGTGGCTCGGCGGCGCGCGCGGCGGCGCGCTGCTGTGGGTGCGGCGCGCGCTGCAGGGCGGGGTGCGGCCGCTGGTGGTTTCTCACGGGTCGGGCTGCGGCTTCCTGTCAGACTTCATTTGGGACGGTGAGGCGGGCCGCGCCCTGGGCCCCGCGAGGCTGCGGCTCTTCTTCCCCAGCACTATGTGTGATGGTTTTGAGGGACCCAAGCCCATGCCTGTTGTGTTTCCTGGTTTGAGGGAGGAAGCCGCGCTCCACTGGTGTGAGTGTTTTCAGACGCCTGCCCCCTGGCACTGACGCGCATGGAGTCCGCGTCTTTGCTCAAATGTTCACGCCCCCGGCCCGTCGCCCCACCCCCCGGGCAGGCTGCCGCGACTACGCGCCCCAGCTGTCGCTCTCGACCGCCCTCGCCTGGTGGCGCGCCGTCGGGCCGGCCCGCGCGCGCGCCTACATGCACGGCCTGCTGCGGGACGCGGTCGCACTGCTGGAGCGCAGCTGGGGCACGCGCGCGCTGGCGCCGCCCGGCAGCGGCCTGGTGGCGGCCATGGCGTGCGTCGAGGTGCCGGCGGCGGCGGTGGCGGCGGTGCGGCGGCAGCGGCTGGGCAGAGGGCGTGCGGCGGGCGGCGAGGGGGGTGCGGGGGACGGAGAGCCGGTGGTGGTGGGGCCCCCGGTGTCAGAGGACGCATCGTGGCTTCAGGTGCGCGCTTGTTAACTTTTTCGGGAGGGGGAAGGGGGTTACCAGGCTGCGCTGCCAGGGCGAGTTCGGATCATTGTTGTCCCCTGCATGACGGGTTGCCGCGCAAGCCGTCAGCCCCCCGACGCGCGGCCTGTCGGGTGGCTGCTGCCGCGCCGCTCGTGTGCGGCGACGTCATGGCCCGGCCCCAGCTGCGGCCTTAGCTTGCGGTCCTGCCCCACACCCAACCCTCCCATGTGCTGCCCGCCTCTCCCGCGGCTGGCTGTGCCGCGCGCCACCCGACCCTCCCCCAGGACGCGCTGCACTTTGTCCACCGCGTGGAGGTGCCCGTGAAGCTGCTGGGCGGCTGCCTGTGGGTGCGTATCAGCGCGCACGTGTACAACACCCCGGATGACTACCAGCGGCTGGCGGACGCTGTGCTGGCCGTGGCGGGAGATGGCTGAGCGCGCAGGCTGTTTTTCTTTCATATGCAGCGAAATGGTGTTGTGCTGGTATTCCTGTTGGGTGTGGCAAGCTCCTGGCCCCATTTTCTGGGGGAAGCGCTGCAGGGTGGCCGAGGCTGCCCCTCTTGTAAACCTGGGCTTGGTCTTTCGGGAACCCTCGTGATCCCGAATTCTGCAGCTGAGCGGACACCCAACGATTACGCTCGACAATACAAACAGGGTGTGAAAGGCAACAAAGCCTGAAATACTGAACAGGAACACAGGGCGCGCGCACGCTGCACGAACCAGGCGGCAGCACACTCCCCAGGGGAAGGGGGGGCAGGGG